TCCTGCTGAAAAGGGACGCTGTGGGTTTCAGGGTGAAGATCTTCTCTCACTACTCTAAAGGGCCCCTTTGGCAGTAGGAAACACATAGACTACTATGGAGATTGATTTTGGAATTTAGATGCACTGTTATTAATTGTGCTTAGCCGTACATGTTCATTGGGATTTGAGTCTTATAAGATCCCATTCATCTATGTTATCTTCTGGTTGCCTGTCTGTTTTCTTGGTCACCCATCAGATGTTCAGTGCTCTTCTCCAACACCACAGCTCAAAGCATCGATTTTTCGTCTGTCATCCTTATTCATTGTTCAGCTCTTAGATGTGTAGCAAGTGATCGGAAAGCCCATGGCCTGAATTAAACACACCTTAGTTCTTAAACTGATATCGTTACTCCTCAATAATTTGGAGAGGTCCCTAACTACAGATTTTCTAGTGTAATACATCTCCTTATTTCCTGACTGCTCATACAAAGGGTGTTAATTGTAGATAATAGATTAAATTGTTGACAGTTTCAATCCCTTCTCCATCCATCATAATGCTGCCTATCAATCCAATGGTAAAAATTTTTGTTTTCTTGATGTTGAGATGCAATCCATACTGAATGCTGCATTCCTTGATCTTCTGCAACAAGTGCTTCTAGTCCTCGCTTTCAGCAAGCAAGGTAGTGTAATCTGCATATCGCAGGCTATTGATGAATCTTTGACTGATTCTGATACCATATTCCTCTTCATAGAGTCCAGCTTTTTTAATAATTTGCTCCAGCTTTTTTAATAATTTGCTCAGCATTCAGATTAAATACGTATGGAGAGAAAATACAACCCTGACACACTCCCTTCTTAATTTTAAACTGTGCAGTGTTACGTTGCTTGGTTTGCAGAACAGCTTCCTGGTCCAGGTATAGATTTTGCATGAGCACAAGTAAGTGTTTTGGGACTCCCATTCTTCTCAATGTCAGCCACAACATGTTATGATCCACACAGTCCATGTCTTTGCATCGTCAATAAAGCACAAATAGACATTCTTCTGGTATTCTTTACTTTCAGCCAGGATCCATCTGATATCAGCAATGATATCTTTGGTGCCATGACCTCTTCTAAATCCTGCTTGAATTTCTCCAAGTTCCCTATCTATGTACTGTTTCGGCCATTTTTAATTATCTTCAGCAATATTTTGTTTGCATCTGATATTGTTCGATTGTTGCCACATTCAGTTTGATCACCTTTCTTGGGAATGGGAACACATATGGACCTCTTTCAATGCATTGGCTAGGCAGTTGTCCAAATTTTCTGGCATAGATTGGTAAGTTCATCCAAGGTTGCATCTGTTAGTTGAAACAAATTAATTGGTAATGCATAGATTCCTGGGGCCTTATTTTTTGCCAGTACCTTCCATGCAGCTTCTACGTCCTCCTTCATTACCAGTGGCTCCTGTTCATATGGTACTTCCAGAAATTTTTCAGTGTCAGTTTTTTCTGGTACAGTGCTTCTGTGTATTCCCTTCATCTTCTTTTTATTCTTTCTGGGTCATTCGATATATTGCCCGTAGCCTCTTTCAATATTACAACTCAAGGTTTAAATTTGTTTCTCAGCTTGAGTCCCTTTTTATTCTCCAATTCCAGCTGTCTGTACATTCCGTTATAATATTTTGCTTTGTTTTCTTTTTTTTTTT